GTGGATGTGTTGGTTACTGGCCTCTGTGTTATGGTGAAGCGTTGTGTGTGGGTGTGCTAAATCTTGAGGGCTTTGAGGTGTTTGTGAGGGGAAATACTCAAAAGCTTTGCATGAGGACTAGGACCCATAAGCTTTAGGGCTGGAGGAAGTGTAGTAACTTGAACGGGCCAGCGTGGAGGATGGAGAACGGGCCATCTGGTAGGATGGAGAAAGAAGTTTTAATAGTTTTTTCCTGTAAATATAAAGGGTAAGTGGCAATTAGTATGTTTTAAAATATGTTGGCAAGGGTTTGTTTGTTTGTTTTTTTAAGAAGGAAAGTGTTTTAGCAAATGCTTTCATGGGTCTGCTTATACAACTTCAGTAATGGAAGTGAGAGAGGATTCAGCACCTGAAAATTAGATCTATGTTTTTCTCCAAACCCTCATTTAACGCATGATGAGATCTGTTGCCAAAGACAGTAAGGAAAAAAACCCAAAGAGTTACCTGGTGTAACTAAATGCTGCATTTTTTCTGGATAGCAGTACTTTCTGAAAATTAAACAAAAAATGGAAACACTTCGTTTGTGTTTCTCTCTGTTTTCACCTTTGTTGTAAGAAGAAAATAAAAGATTTTTTTATGGAAAGAGAGAAGAGGGGAAAGAAAGGATTATTATGGGGAAAACTTAATTAGCATTGTGAAAAATGCAAGTAACAGTCAAATCTTTTGAACCATGGAAAAAAAGGAAGTTTCTCAAATATTTCAGAACTTGACATGATGCAGACTAAATCCTAATTTTGACATTTTTAAGAGTTAGCATTTTCATATGGGAAACCTCAGCCCTTCAATGATGAATTCAGGCTGGGACTAGCCTTGTGCAAATCAGAGCCTAAATCTTCCTAGGGGCCTCATCATTGGGAGCTCTTTGTGAATTCTGTGACTCAAAAGGCAAGGTGGCACCTCTTGTTGTTTAAAACCTCATGTAGTTATTTTTAATATATATTTTTTTTTAACTGAAGAGATACAGGTTTATGAGAAGACAAAATGTGTAATTACTTAAAACAGAATAATGCCTAAGGTGATGTTAAGGCTGGTACTTCAGTTGCATGGCTAACCTACACATGTAGCTCTTGCCAGGACCTACTCGACGCTTCCAACAATTTCAATTAGACAACAAGATAATTAAAAGAACACTAATTCTGCACTTTGGAAAACGTTACTGTTATACAACTCTGTGCAATATTTTTCCAAAATAATGCATGTGGAACAGATCAGGACAGAAAAATGTGTATAGTTGTCGTGCTTCTTTCAGGAAATGGCTAACGTTAACATCGTCGAATTTAACCATGTCTTTTTTTTTTAGTGGCAATAACAGCACTGTTTACACTTACTTCCCTGCTAATTTTAGCCCTTAAAAGTAAAAGGGCTTTTCCTCAAATATAGATAGAGCCTTTTTCCCTAATGGCTGTAATTAGCTAAAAAAAACTCCCGCGTTAAAGGTACAGTGTATTTCTAGTGATGTGAAGGTAACTTCCTGTTGATTGATCATTAATTTAATATTACTAATGCTACTTACTAATTACATACTCATATTTTATTGGGTAGTGTTGAATAGGCTAAACTTTAAAGGGAAGTAACACAGATGCTAGATTTATGTACTTGTCAAGAATTAAGGTTGTCACATGTTTAATGGCAGTTTCAAAAAAACATAAAAATGTGACTAATTCAGGATGAGGCAATAGAATCATAATAATGTAGTACAAGGTAGTATATAAACTATTCAGTGTTTTATCTTACATTTGTATCCTCAGAACCTGTACTAGAGCAAGCAAAAGAAATTGCAGTCTGAAATTTTGCATACAAGACTTCAGGAAGTATGTAAGAGTCATCTGAGATTTTTTTAACCAATATGCTACATGTGGTGCTAAAGAGAGCTGTACCTATAAGGAATTGGATGAAAATCCTGTTTTCCTTTACTTGCATAGACAAATTTTCTTCTGCTGTAGGTGTGGATATTTCTGTCAGGGTATGGAGAGAAGTTTGTTTTAAAAATAAGCAAGTATGACTGTAAACAACAAAAAAATGACAAGGGTCACAGAGACAGGTGCAGCACCTGAGCCTATTTTTAACCCTTTTTGACCCAGTGGATGTTGATAGGAGGAGTCTCTTTAAGTTTCTTAGTTTTTGCAACCTTAGACTTATGTTTTCACAATTATTTTTAGACTCATGTATGAACTTCCTTTTTTACTGCAGTGGTCTAAATATAGCCCTTTTTTTCCTGAGCAGTACTGTTTTTTTGCAATGTGTATTGTGTATTTGTATGTGTGTTACTGCAGTTTTTACCACTATTCTGAATTGGTAGAAGAGTGTTTCGATCAGTTTGTAATACACTGTTAGTCTTTAAATCAACTAGAATTGATCACATTTAATTGGTGATCGTGCCTGAAAATACGCTTTTTTTAAAAAAAAGACTTAGTTTAGAAAATGAAGGCTGTAAAAGAGCAAAATCTTAAATAGTTGGTAGAGATTTATTTTTATCTCCCATCTACTTGAAAGAAAAACATTGCTAAATAGTACTGCATTTTCTAGGCTTATTACAAAGAAGAGTATATCCTCTGCTTGAAAACACACACAATGTAATCTTTCAAATTTTAAGAAATGTTAGACTTTGTGGATATTTGCTTTCTTCTACCTGCACCATGTCTGTGTTAAGCACAGCAATAGAATTCTGAGTCTGTGAGTTGAGCAGAAACCTTGGCCAGCCCTCAGTATAGACATCATAGGCCTCATAGCCCTGTTAATGGTGAAGGTGATCTAAGCTACTTACGGAAATTATTGGTTGTAATCACGTAGAGTCAGGATTGTTACTAGTACAAATTTACAAGTAAAATAAAGAGAAAATACAAATTACACTACACTCTGTAAATTTAAGGCTGCTTGATAGGGCATACTTCAGTCTTTTAGAACATCAGTTTGCACAGTGACCATCTGCAGGTTTTCTGTATTTATTAATTTTTTTTGTATTGTTCACGGTCTGGTATCTAGTTGCAAACCATTTCTGGCTTGCCAAATAGATACAAAGAAGCCAAAGAGTTGTCAATTTAAAAACTAACATGTATTGCCTTTGGAAGACAAACTTAACCCACATACTTTGTGTTTGCATTTGACAGATATTTTACAGGTCATAAAATTTTTAACATGCATTTGTTCTGAAGTAGTCTCAAACTGTTAATGTAAGGAGAAATGTTGTGTTATGCCTATTCTTGCAGGTATGTGGATAGGATAAGACTAAAAGTTTGGGAACAGTAGAGAAAATCTGCAGGTTTGAGTATATTTAATGTTTCCATGCATGAGGGGTTGTATTAAAAGTTGGGATTTAATTGTTTTCCTCATTTTACAGTTACGTGATTTATCATAAGGCATTTAGATGCATAGGCATGTGTCTCTGATTTTGGCAATGAATGTATGGTAAGAACAATATAATTTAATAAAATTTTGATCTCTGAAAGAGCACAGAGATGAATAGTAGGGATTATATGAATTTAACCTTATCGTCACAGTAGCATAACTGACATAGTTGGTTGGAAGTTAAAACCTACATGGTATGGGGTTTGCTTCTAGAATCCTTTACTAGCACTGAACGTGGTTTGCACGCCGCAGAACCAAATCTCAGACATCACATGTCTGCACAGTTTGAGTCAAGAGTTCAAAACTGGAAGTGTAACTTCTTGGAAAGCCAGTGTAATCAGCTAAATAAACATCGTGAAGCTTAGCTAGCAGCTACATTTCCACATTTTTCCTATTGTTCCTAGACATACTGTGGGTTTTTTCTTCTAATCTCATATTTAAAATGAAGCAAAGGCAGAATAATTTCAGTAGTACAAATTCTGTCCCCTCCTGCTGGTTCAGGAACAAACTACTTTGAATACAATTATGAAGATAGGAAATTTTGAGGTTGGGACCTCACAGTGTTGGGCAGAAAGAGGAAGAAACATGTATCTTTGATGTCATGTCTATTTACTAGAGAGCTTATGGTGTGGTGTTTGTTTTTCAGTATCTGGAAGAACTTGCTCATGCACAGTTTTGATAATTTGCTTTCAGTCTATGCATATATTAGTTGTATGTTCTTTCAGAGGAAAAGAATTATTACTTTAATTCCTGAGAAGTTATAGGGGTTATTGGAGGATATTTTGAGTTTAAGATCAGTTTAAAAAAAAAATTATAGAGGTGATGGAGGTTAATTAAACAATACATTTTACACATATTCATGGGAGTTTATAATCCATATTCTGACAAGCAAAGTGTTATGGTATTTGTTGTTAAAATAATTGAGAATTTAAAGATTGTCTTGTGTAGTTGCTTGTATAGTAACAAACTAGATTTTATAGGTGTTAATCAGGAAGAACTATGCTGGTAGTAAAATTTTAAGAGATTTATTGTAACAATTGCTCTCAGTTCACCTGACTTAAAACTCTTTCTGCAGTAAGGTTGTTTGACAATAAGAAGATACTCCTGCTGGCTCTTTCTCATTTTCCATTCTTTTCTTGTGCTATGATGATATACTACGCTGATAGTTGTCCCAGTGTGAACATTTATGGGATTGCAGTGTGAGCTCCATCATACACCTAATCCAACCAACCAAGAGAGGAGAAAAAAAAAAAAAAAATCTTAAACTAGGTCAAATCCAGGCTTGCAATATGACCTCATGGGTGGTTGTGCGAAGAAGCTGGGGCGAACGGTGTTGATTGTGCTGTTATACTATATGTGGTATTACTGCAATAGACCTTATCTCATGAAATCAGAATTTATTAAAGTAAGATTCTAGATGATAATTCACAGTATTCCTGCATATTAGAGAAAGGCTACTTGAAACCTCAAAACACAGAGTTACATTACAGAAAATAAATTAATATATTTAATGGAATAATTGGCATAGGAAGAAAGTTTCCAGGGCTCTGGTGTTGGCCTGAATGTATTTTTGTTAAAAAACTATTTATTTTAAAATAATAACATTTTGTTGAATTTCAGGTTCACAGAACAATGACACTAAAAGACAGTTTCTTCTAGAACGGCTGCTGGATGCAGTTAAACAGGTGAGAAGTCAGATATGTATTTCTACAGTATACTTAATCCGAGTTGTCAGTCCTAGCAGGAACTTTGCCCCTTTTTCTCTTCATTACTAGATAAATAAGAAATCTTGTCTTTCACACAGTACTACTGAGTTTTTGTGTCTGCTAGCAGACAAATATGATAGAATATTTGTTTAAAATTCTTGTTCTTGACAGATTCTACTTGCAATATTTGTATATATTATAAATACATATAATAATATAGAACATATAAATATGTATTTTTATAATACTTATATGACTGAACTAAAAAGTAGTGTACTGCAAAGGCTAAATTGCTTAATATTTTACAGTAGCAGCTTTTTTTTCTTCACACTAGGATTTTAGTGAATGGTTAAAATACAGGTAAAGATGGGATTTGTTTATGTATGTATGTATCTTGTATCAACATGAAGTGCAGCAAGTAGAATTTTGTAGGCTGGATTCAATTTAGGAGAGCTGTGGAGGCAAAAGAATGCCTCGAACGTAAGCCAATGATAGGTTTTATAAAGAATGAACTTCTGTAATTGTAGCATTGAGCTGAATGGGAGCAGTGTTTGTTTTTGTGAGTGTACATTTAAAACTCAGAAATAGTAATTTTTACTGAATTGTAAATTTATTGAAGACCTGCAGGTGTGTGTTCTGGCTGACAAGAATCTATTTTAACTGCAGGAATAGCCTGTAAAGCAATTTTTGGTTGCAGATTCTATTTGCCAGTGCTTTATTTTGTACTGCTTCCTTTTTTGTTGTCACTTTTTCTTACATGGAAGTATTTCAGAATATTGAGTCTGGTAGTGTAACAATTTTTTTTTAAACTCTGTTTATTGCAGTGTCAAATACGGTTTGGAGGAAGAAAAGAAATTGCTTCAGACTCTGATAGCAGGTAAGACAGTCTAAGGAACTTTTAACATGCTTAGATTATGTATCATAATGGCATAAAACAGATGGCACAAAATACTTGACAGTTCCTTTTGTTTACACAGACACTGACATGGGACTCTGATTTTTTTTGTCTTGTTACAAATCTGACCCCTTAGCAAAGTATTCTTCTGTGTGAAGCTGCAAGTGTTTAAGTGGCTGCAGAGTTCATGAAAAAGCGCTAAATTCCGAGGTCTGAACATGAGATTGGGAGAATTTATCTTCCCTAAAACTGCTTTTAAAATAAATGCATATTTATTATCAATACGCCTGTGTTTTGTTGACTGGTGTCAAGTGTGTTTAACACATAGTCATTAAGAAAATTTTCCTTCTTATTTTTTCATATTACTGACATACTTTAAACCTATTTTTCTGTATGAGTTGTTCCTTTTTCTTAATGTAACTCAAAAAATGACATTTAATTCCCATGAGGTGCATTTGTTGTTGGATATGGCATATTGGTTTCTAAGGCTTTTAAGATGAGGATTGGTGGACAGAAATTGCAGTGCTTTTTGTATCCTATTGAGTCTTTCTCAGAATCTGTCCTATCACATCTTGGGTAGAACACCAGGATTAAATGCAGTTGTTTGTTCTTCTTTTTCTGTGTCCTTGAAGTTTGACTCTGCCTTTTGGGAAGAAGTTGACCATTTATAAATGATGCATAAAGGTCTCTGCAATCCCCTCCCGGTTCAGTCTTTAAGATAGGTCTAAGGGTGTGGCTTCACAATTTCTGGAAAGCCAGCATAATAATACATTACTGCTGATGGGGTGGGGAGGGTTCCTGTATCTCTTCAAGGTCCCTGACTTTAGTACTATTCCCTTCCACCACGTTTTTAAGCAATGTCTGGTGATCATCCAGTGCCCCCTGAATTAATTTTATAAAAGAAGAAATAATGCAAAAGGATAAGTTTCTGCCATTTTTATGAGTTAAATCAGTAAAAGGTCTGCTGAATGCTAGAGTTGTTGCAAGGAGGGGACAGTCATGCAGTTAGAAGCAATGGGAAGTGTGGAAGGGGAGGAAGAACCAACAAGGCATGAGGAGGCAAACCCTTCTCTTAGGAGCAGCTTGTAATGCAGCTCCTGTGCATACCTGTGTGTGAAAATCCAGGCTAATGCTACTTCATGGCAGCTTAAACCGTCTGACTTTGGCTACCAGTGTCATCCTGTCTTGCCACTGGCTGTTTCAGCCTACAGTACTTCGGGGAAACAGACCTCAAGAAGTAGTGTTCTCTTGAACTAGCGTGGTGGAAACAGTTCAGTACAGTGGCTGTTCAGCACAGGGTTTGTTGGGCAGAAGCTGGTGTGGGGAAGGACGCAAGAAGGGGAGGTGGGATGGGTAAAGGGATGGTGGGTCTGAAGCACCTAGCTGTAGGGCTGGTTGTGCAGCTATACCTTTTGACACAAAAGTGTGAACTAGAGAGAGTTAATTTAATCGTTGCTGTTTAGTTTATGTGAGACAATCTATTGGTGTGTTTGCCTTTGTAGTAGATTGTGTTAAGTACCTTCTATGTAGAGCAAATTCTCTGGATCTAAAACTTCTGCTTTATTGCTCAGTTTGCTTGAATAAGTGCTTTGCTGCAGTCACTTAATAATTGAATGACTACCTTTAGTATTTGTCTTCTGATAAAACAGTGAGAGTTAGGATTCCACAGACATAATGCTGGCCAAATTTCACTTATAAATGCTTTCCTTAGAATTCAGTAGATATGCTGAAAAATGGATTATATATAGCTGGGCAGTTTCAGGAATAAAAAGGAAGTGGAAATTAATAGATTTTGTTTTCTGAATTTCATGGTGTTAGAGGTTGTTACTATGCTAAGTATTATGAGCTAATTTTGAAAATGAGGATAATCTGAGAATTTAGATCAAAATGTAATAAAATCCATGATTCTCCAAGTTTTATTCTCCCAGTGGTTTTCTCTTTGGGTTTATAATTATTCACGGTTCTGCTATGGATATGTACATTAGACTTTTCCATGGTTTTCAGTACTTGTTTATTTAACATACGATTGTGATGCTATGTAGTAAATACAGTGTGTATATTGGGCATTGTAGAATACTTGATTTTTTTTTTTAAATTTTATTTTGTTTTACTAGTGGCTAACTTTTCGTGTAAAATGCTGCAGTTTTCCTGCTTTGATTTTCAGTGCACATGGATTTTTAATAATGTGCACGAATAAAACCAAAGAGCTCATTTAATAATATGAGCTCTTTCACAGAAAATAGTTTCTGTTCTGCTTTTTATGAACTGAAAAAGTCAAGTAATTTTTTTTTTTTCTGGGAGGGGTCATGTATCTGCTGGAATATCCATTTTAGACAGCAACAGTCTTTTGGGCAAAAATTAATCACAACTGCTCCACACTCATCTTGAGTATTGTTTGAATTACTGTCTGCTTTATCAGTGAAGTTTTCCTAACAAAGTATAGCTTCCTTAACATGGCTGTACTGGAAAGCATTCTGTTTTATAAGCTCTTCTGTCCAGGGCAGTGTTAGTAAATATACTTCTGTTTCTTTTAGTGTCCCTCCTGAGATCTTCTGCTTTTTTGTGGCCCTTAGTAGAACTCTACTTCTGGAATGCCGGGGCAGAGTCCTGAGCAGCTTTGTCAAGTGTTTTTATTTCTTTGATTGAATTTAGTTAAAGTATCTGTCCTTCCTTTTAGCAATCAGCTTTTGCAGCCATGTGACAACTTTGTCAAAGGTTAAGTTTTAACTATTGTTTATTTAATGGCAGAGATAAAACTTAGAGATAAAAATTAGAGTAAAAAAGATTTCAAACAGATTGCATTTATGTCTATTATACCTTAAGCTTTGCTATTCCCTGTAGGTTACAATAATAGTCCTTTCTTTGGCATGCTGAATCTTAACATTTTGCTGATTTTGACAGTATTTCTACCTGTGCAAAATTGATTTATTAGCTGAGTTATGTTAAGAAAAATAATCAGGGAGTTTATACATACTACTGTAGAGAACAACATCAAAAACTGAAGATTCAACACATCTCCAGAAAAATCTTTCTTGTTTTCCTAAGCCTAGAATTTCTGAAGGACATAAAAATGAATGCTTAATTGTTTTCCTAATCTTGAATTATAGTGTACTGTTGCAAATTAACAAAAGTGTCTGTTAATTGCATAGCAAGTTGTAGCATATTTTCAGAAAATCATTCATTGCATGTGTAGTACAAAGTATATTTATGAAGATGTAATTGCGTTACATGAAATGTGGGTAATCCGAAGGATGATTTCTCAAATGAATTGGCAATTCTTCTGAAGGTAACATGTGCCCTAGCTTTGGATAGTCATGCTGGGACTGTGGGTATAGGTAGATTATACTGTTTGCAAATAATGAGATTAGTGCATATAAGTGGTCTTGCACTGCATGTAAGATAATGGTTCACCTTTACATCGTCTGTTCAGAGACTTGGAATAAATCTGCCCTATAGAAACATAGTTGACTCTTCTTTTCATGTGATTTCTTTAAAAATTCTGTTGCAGGGTCACTTGTTTGTGTGCACAGTTTGAAGCAGTGTTACAGCATGGTCTGAGGAGAAGCCGAGGACTAGCATTAACTGCAGCAGCAATCAAACAGGCAGCAGGTTTTTCCAGCAAAACTGAAACAGGTAATTCATTAATTGTAACTATTTTATTTTAAACAATTGATAAGTGCAAGGAAGTGATACACTTTCTAATGGAAGTTTGAAGGAATGCACTGAACTGCAGAGAGTTGGCAGCATACTTTAGTACTTGGACTCTCATTAAACAGTGAAAATGGGTCTTGCTTTCTCAATCTCATTTAACTTTCATACCAAGTTTCTCTAGAAAATTTGGTCCTTGAAAATCTGCTCTATCTACAGTTCCATTATGAATAGTATCATTGGCAAAGTTCTTTTGAGTTGTGGTAGGGATAAACATTGTGTAACTGTGCTATTTTTACTACCGTATTTTTATTCTTAGCCTTGTCTTACTCTGTTCTTTAACTACCACATTCTATAGCATCAGTTATACTTCAGTTACAAGTATTGATGCCATTTTAAAAACAAAACTTACATTGCTTATATTGATTGGGTTGTTTTTTATTGCTTTCTCCACATTTAAAGAAAAGATTCCTGAATTTTTGTTTTTTTTCTCTTCCCCTTGAAGTTTCCCTTGTTTTATATCAAAATGATACGAGGGTGTTAATCTTCATCAGTTTTGTTGTGAAGTTTGACATACAGTATCTCTTTTCTTCAATGTGGTAGACATAATACAAAGGAGTTTCTTTTTGGCTTTTGAAACTCCATCAAATGTAACATGTAACACTTGGTGGGGCTTTGGGTTCTGGTTTGGATTTCTTTTTTATTTTAAATATATTGAGTGGTACTAAAATGGTAATTGTGAATTGTTAGTACTGTCATGTGAATTGTTAGTAATGTCAAGGATGTATGAAGTTTTTGGTGCTGTCTTTTAGTGGTCAGATGTACAAAGGTGCATCTCTGATACTTGGGAATTTAGTAACAATTTAGCTGTATGTTCGTGTGTTTGTGTGTCTTATTTGAGGGCTTGTCAGTGGGATGTTGTGGAGGAAGAGGATAAAGTCAGGAAGGTTATCTGTTGTTGGGGAATGGAAGAAAACATAATTTTTAATCCTTGGGAAGCTTAAGCAATGTATGGAAGTTCAAGAACAAAAATGTGGCTGCTTGGCAGCAAATTGAATGTTGTGCAGTGAGTGACTAAGAAGAGAACCTTTTTTCTTCCTGGAAATTACTGGGTTCCACTGTATTTACCTTTGTGAATTACAGTGTTGCCTTTTAGTCAATGAGTCTAACCTGCTTATTTTATGTTTAGGTTTCTAAAATTATATTAAAAACTTTATTATGTTAAAGTTTATATTATAAACTTTATTAGATTATGCTAATCTAATGCTGTATTTGGCTTTCAGCAGAGATTAATCAAAAACTCCATACCCTCAAATAAGTGTATTTCACCAAAAGAAGTCATAAGATGTAGTGAAAACCTACTCAAAATCTTAGTGCATGCTCTTTATTTAGCAGAGAGAAAGAGAAGTGTCATGGATGGCCTTTCTTAAAATTCTTACTACATTAAAAAGGTTTTTGATCCTGCCACTTCTTGCTTTTCTATTTGTTTTCTCTCGTGAAATTTTTTTGTCTTTGATGAAATTTTTTATCTGTCTTTAAACATCTACTTTATGCTGCCTACGTTGAGATTACGACCAAAAGCCAGCACATTTGAGGTGATAGTGCACCATTCACTTGTACAATAGAATTATTTTCCCTTTTTTGTGAACTTAAAAAAAAATGCTGAACAAAGACATTCATTAAACTGGCAAAAGGAGTACCTGGATGTCTTCCTTCAGAGATTGATGTGCGCTTTTTTTTTTAATGCTGGTTTTCTAAGATTTCTTTTTCTCTTAGAAATACCCTATTTGCCTTAAATTCAGTCTCTTAACATGTTACTAACTGTGTAGATTAACAGTTTTCAAATCGTTATAGTTATTTGAGCAATTCTATTTATAACAATCAATGCAACATGAATGTTATTGTTAATGTTATATTTTAAGATAATTCGAAGCAGTATGTATTTGATGCAACATTAAATGACTAATGATTGCCAAACTATACCATATTGTAATGATTCAAGTCTTACAGATGAATTACCTGATATTTGGTTGTTCTTTTCACCCTGAGTGTATGGTGAGAGGTGAATTGGAATTAATATGTCCTTAAAATATGTTATTATTCAGTTAAGAAACAGGAGTATGTAAAATACTAGGTGTTTCATTGGACATTTACAATTACTGATGTATATTTGTTACCTCCAATTGAAAAATCTGAGGCAACTGCAAAATAATTTTTTAGCTATATTTGAGGACAGGGCAAGAAAAATATTTTAGTGGAGAGGGGTGTTGTTGCCTTTTGAATGTAACAGTTTTGGTTTTTAAAGTAACGTGAATTGGTCATGTGTGTGTCTGAATTCTGGAGTGACCTGTTCTTTTGGGCCTGGCTTTTAACATTTCAAAATGAGCAGAAAAAAATAATCATTTTTTTCTTTTGCATAATATATTCCCACCTGAACATGTGAATCTGTTCTGTGGATGAAATACTAGCTTAAATGTGCTTTTAAATGTGAATTCTCTTTAAAAATGTAAGATAGAATCCTTTAATGTGTGTGTTTGGCTTTTTCAATGAAGTGAAAAGTCCTAAGTGCTTCAATAGTCCAAGTTCTGTAGAAATAAATAACCTATTTAACGGGAGGGTTATACAAAGATGGTGAATGATTCACCTTGATTCAAAGTTATATACTATTACCTTATTGTTTTATAAAATTGCATGTAAATGCATTCAGTTATGAGCTTAGCATTTTTTTTTTTTTAAATCATGATTTTTTTTTTTTTTTTTTAATTCCAGAGCCAGTGTTTTGGTACTATGTGAAAGAAGTTCTGAATAAACATGAACTGCAGCGCTTTTACTCTCTGAAGACAATTACTACAGATATTGGTAGAGGCCGAGCTTGGTTGCGCTGTGCATTAAATGAGCATTCCCTGGAAAGATATGTTCATATGCTTCTTGCAGATAAGAATAGACTCAGGTACTGTATTTGATATCTTTGTAATGCAGGAAGCATATTGACAAATGAAGTGCTGAGATTAAAAAACCCCACCTAACCAACCCACCCAGCTGTAATAATACACCACATTAATTACTATGCTAGGGAAGCCACTTCACCTTATACTTTTGTTCATTTTTGAAATTTTGGCAGCCATTAAATTTTTGAATTTTTGCCAGCCATTAAAATAGTGGCTTGGGCCTATATCAACATGTGGCCTGCAACTGGCTTCATTCTAGCTCATGAGAATATATGCTTCTACCCTCATCTTAATTTCCATCACCTTCCCTAAATCCCTTCCCTATTCTTTCAACAGTTTTCCTCACTGAGACCTTGCCGTCATGCTTTGAGTTGTCCCTCTCATTCCATTAAAAAAGCACACGCTTGCAGCCTTGATCTTAACACTTCATCAGTGGTAATTGTCTGTTGCCTTTTGGAGGTGCTCATCCTGTAATTGAAAAGCTCCAGCAGTCAGGCAATAGGTAGCTACTATTGCAGATCACTTGGGCGTGGATTTGTACCAGATTGTGAACCTTCTTGTTACAGAGTTACTGAGAGTAACTTACTGTGCATTATGAAATCCTAAGGTACTTTGGACATGCAAAATGCACTTAAGTTCATACTTAACTGAGTTCTACCTTTTCCCATATACATCTTCACTCCTTTTTGAAAATTTGGGGTATTTTCCTTTTTTATCAATAACTGTTGAGCTTGGTTAAGTCCAGTGAATTCAGCAGAAAGACATTCTTTCCATTAGCATCAATTAATGGATGTACTGGCTAAGATTATTGCCAGAACTGAACTTGTTAGTAACTTTTTTTTAATTTTTAGTCAGTTCCAGTACTCTGTAACTTTCTTGCAAGACAACTTCTGATATGAAATTAAATAAAGATGAATGAAAAGTAAAGGAAAAAAACCCTGAAAACCACTGTGAGGAAATTAATGACTTGGATTGCTATGGCACTAATTACTCTCATGCTTGTAGCAATACTTGTGCATTATCAAGATTATCAGCACTGTCTGTGTTGTACATGAAATGTTATTCCTAAAAAGACTTATTCCAGTATATTTAAAATTTAAATGTTACCCAAAATCAAATGGGATTTACAGAATCAGCTTACATCCCCAATTATTATCTGTTTTGGAAACTTTTAAATGAATCTGTCAAAATTTTTAATCTAGGTTGAGTGTTTTCTTGCTGTTTTTATGTTCAGTTAACTAAATGCAGATAGTAGAAGTACAGCATCCTGTTACTAAAAAGAACTAGGTTTAGAACAACTAGATTCATGTGTCCACAGTGAAATTCATATTAACCTTTTTTCTGACATCCGAATTTCTAGTTGACTCTAACCATTTTGGGTAATTGATGTAGTTTTGGACATTGAAAGAGGTCACCAAATTGTAGAATTAATAGAATGGTTTTGGGTTAGAAGGGACCTTTAAACATTGCCCAGTCCAGTCCCCCTGCTATGGGCAGAGACATCTTTCAGTAGATCAGGTTGCTCGAGGTGAAGTGGATCTTTTTGTTTGTATTCATACATTCTAATATTTTATAAAATGGCTTGGTAATTATGATCAACTATAGTTATTAAAAAACTTACATATGTGGTGTAGCAGTATAAGTAGAGAAATAATGTGACTGCTGATGTAGTATGATCCTTCTTGCCCTGAGTGGCTTTTTTCCCTTAAAAAATGCAGAGTTACAGCTGAAGATAAAGTGCTATTTAGCATGTCTTTGATAACTGTTGAGACAGTTCTATATATTTCAGAGCTTCATGGAGTTACTGTGACATGTAGTTTCATCAATTTGTGTACTCATACCTATTTTTCAGAGTTTTCATGTCTTTTAGGAGTGGAATATATGTTAATATAGTACTGCATATTCCTTCTTATTATTTTCTTTCATGTTTTTTTTCCTTTTCAAATTATAGTGTCTTCTATGAAGACTGGTCTTTTATGATGGATGAAGAACGTTCTAGTATGATCCCTACGATGGCAGCTGGTAAGACTTTGTCTTACATGCCACTGTTCTTGGAAACCTATTTCATTTTGAGACTCTATATCTGTTTCTGATTGCAAGGAGCTTCTCTTACAGTCTTTGTGTATGTGGAGAATGTGCGACAGATGCATATTCAGGGTGAATAGTCAAAGTATTATGCCAGTTTATGCTACGAATTGGTGAACTCTTAAAACACTGGATCTGGCCTTCCTACAGTTCAAAATTCTTTTACATAACATTTTCTAGGTTATAAATAAACTTACTGCTTATTTAATACACAGCTGAACAGCCATCAAGACAAATTCAGAACTGATTGCATCAGCTTGAATATAATCTAAAGAATGAAAGAATAAGAATTCATGCATGGAGAACCGTGGGAAGTTTTCAGGGAAAAACGTTTTACATGTCATAGCTTTGTTAGTCCTTAGGTTGTATCTTTGTAACTTCTGTGTGAAGCATACAGTGTGGTTTTAGTCTTTTTTCCCCCCCCCTTTCTTTTATCTGAAGGTCTGAACTCCATTCTATTTGCAATCAACATTGATAATAAGGATTTAAATGGGCAGAGCAAATGCACACCCACCGTGTCCGATTTGTTAAAGGAATCGACGCAAAATGTAACCTCATTATTGAAAGAATCCACTCAGGGTGTTAGCAGCCTTCTTAGAGAGATAACTGCATCATCTGCTGTCTCGATTCTAATAAAACCTGATCAAGACACTGACCCACTTCCTGTTCTCTCAAGGAATGTAAATGCTGGTAAGCGTTTTTGCAATGTTAGTGTAATTCAGTAACTTTGCCAGACAGTTTTCAAGACAAACTTGTGGTAAACCTTGTGTTGATTAGCACTTTAAATGACATTAAAATAGCGGGTGATACTTCGCTTGGGATAGTTTTGTTAGTGTAGAATAGGCTTGCAAGATGAAATAACAGAAAATTTGACCATATGCTGCACATGACTACAACATAATGTCCGTTATGTGTACAGTACATGTGTATACAGTACATGTAATGTGCAACTTAGAATAAAAAGGCACTGAAAAAATGGGTTTGTTCAAATGCCATTGTATGTTGAATGGTAGAGCAAGTCAGGTGGTTTCATTCAAGTCTGTTCTTTGCTGGAATTCTATTTGCATCCAGAATGGGTTTTAATATACTCTTGCAAGTAGTTTTTTCTCCCTAGAAGTGTTTCATGTTTTCTCTGTTGCGTAAACAAGCTCTGCTATACACACTAGTCATATTCCATGACTACCAGAGTATATTAATATTCCAATTCCATTAGAAGTCTAACTTCTAATGTTAAATTTAATTTTCTAATTTTGTTGGGCTTTTTTTCCCAGTTCCAACTGAATACTCTTATGACTGCATGTCCAAAATGTCTTCTAAAATCTGAATTATATAAGGCATATAAAATAAAGATGGTAGTTAAAGATTTAAAAGCTTATGTGTGTGGAAAGATAATGAAATGCCTTGTAGATCTAAGTGCTTTTTTCTTTACTACACTCATATAGTACAAGTCTTTTAAAGAAAAAACCAAGTATATTACATCGTTTCTCTTTTCTAAACTATGTAAACCTTTATGTTGTTACTAGATTTGAAATATAAAAAAGATAGAAAAAAGAAGAAGAGAATAACAAATATTATTTCGTTTGATGAAGAGGAAGATGAGCAAAATTTGGGGGATGTCACAAAGACTCTGATTACAGGAGAAAGTTCAGAGGAGAGTGTAGACAGATCATCAGTTTTTGCATTATCCTCATCTGAAAGCACTCTTGGAAAAAATTTGAATGGGCCGGAAAGCAACCATTCGTGGAAGAGCAACTCAATATTCATGAATGGACAGTATGAATACCAGAAACTAGATGTGAAGAGCATTGATGATGAAGATGCAGATGAGGATGAGCTATATGGAAAAAAGTTAGGATATAAAGGCCCAGAAGGTGAAACTGAAGCCTCTGAAAAGTAAGTAATATTGTAGGAGCCAATTGTGCATTTCCCATGCTTCACACACATGCCTTTTTTTTTTTTTCCTTTTCCATTGTTTAAACCATTTGGGCTGCTGTGGTGATGGTACTTTCCTTCTAAGTTCCAATGGAAACGCAATATTTCAAGTTTTCAGACTTACTTGACTTGAAATTCTCAGTTGTTGAAATTGTTGTGTGATACAGCCAGGCTATAATTCTGGCCTATTTGAAATTTCTTTATTCTTAGTTTGGTATCAACTCTGTTTTGGCTTCACAGTAAAACCGCATATTTTAAACACAGTAAGCCTGTTAGTATCAGAGTGGGTAGTTAAACAAGATACGACAGAACTGAGAGAAATATAATAATTTTAGATACTAAAATGCCCTCTTTATTTCTGTCTCAGAAGTCCCTGTGGACAAAAAGAGGCAAGCACTGCTCGTCTCCTCTGTGTTGGAATGGTCTGAGCTTTAATGTATTTTTGTACGTCTGAACCAAGAAATTGGCAGGCAGACTGAAATAAAGATTTTTCTTGCAGTGATGTATCTGAAAGAATTAAAAACATTGTGAACATGAATACTGACTGTGTGAATAGATTGCTTTGTTTGTTTGTTTTAAATCTAGGCCTCATGAAATAGGAACATGCAATTCTCAGGTATGCAGTTGGACTCCTCTGCAGGTCCTGAATGATGACTCGGATGTTCTCTTTCCTGTCAGTGCCATTGGCTCTTACTCCCAGACAGGTAGGTATTTTAATTTAGTGAATTCCAGCAAACTTTGTAACAGAATTTCTAGCATGAGACAGTGGTAAGAAATAATCGCCTTGTAAGGACATGAGATATTGCACAACTGGGATGGGAGGTTCAATTAAAATATATTCAAGATATGAATCAGTCTTCTCCATTTGAGTAGATACTTAGTTGCAGAGGATTTATGAATATCAGAATAAACCAGAATTTTGTTGGGATTAAGCTGTGGTTTTTTGTGGTATTTTATTAATGTTTAGGATGGTTGAATAGAAAGTATCCTTTTTCTAGATACCACTTAGCTGAAAGAAGCTGCAAGTGTGTTTGAGAATTTGAATTCAAACTAATCTTGATAGATTGGAGAAAGTATCAAATATGGGATACAGTTCAGTGGAAGCTGTTATCTGTTTATATACGGGATGAGGAATGATTGGCTAGGAAATACTTCTTTGGAAAAGGATATGAGAATCATAGCATCACAGAATGGTTTGAGTTGGAAGGGTTTTTCAAAGATCATCTAGTTCCAACCCACTGCTGTGGCCAGGGACACCCTCCACTAGATAAGATTCATGAAAGCCCTACCCAACCTGGCCTTGAACGCTTCCAGGGATGGGGCATCCACATCTTCCCTGGAAAACCTGTTCCAGTGCCTCCCCACCTTCACTGTAAAATAAATTTCTTCTTTATGTCCAATCTAAATCTCCCCTCTTTCAATTTCAAACTGTTGCCCCTTCTCCTGTCACTGCAGACCATGGTAAAGAGTCTCCCTCCATCTTTCTTACAAGCCCTCTTTATATATTTAAAGGCCACAATAAGGTCTCCCCAGAGCCTTCTCTTCTCCAGGCTGAACAACTCCAACTCTCTCAGCCTGTCCTTGTTGGAGAGGTGCTCCAGCCTCTGACCATTTTTGTGGCCCTCCTCTGGCCCCACTCAAATGGGTCCATACCTTTCTTGTGCTGTGGACCCCAGAGCTGGATACAGTACTCAAGGTGGAGTCTCATGAAAATGAAATAGAGGAGAAGAATCACTTCCTTCAACCTGCTTGCCATGCTTTGTTTTTTGCAGCCCAGGATAAGATTGGCTTTCTGGGCTGCAAGCACCAGTTGTTGGCTCATTATCTAATTTTTCATCTACTGGTATCCTCAAGTGATTTTCTGCAGGAGACCCACTACAGTGGGTCACAAGCTGATAGTGCACTAGCAGTGCCGTGCTTCTGCAGTAAAAGCACGCTTCATACGTGCGTAAATGAGAGTGCTATTTGTCAGTTTGTGCTCAGTTGGCTCTGATGTGGCCTCAGCTTCAGTATCGTATGCAATCTGGGGTACTGCACTTCAAGAAAGATGTGGACCATTTGGAGAAGATCTTGAGACAAGCAATGAAATTGGTCAGAGGTATGGAAAGGAAGACCTGGTGCTTTTCCAGTATCTGTATTGGTACCAAAAAGAAACAAAAATGTTCTACCACCCCCCGCCCACCCCACTGTGAGTTAATACTTTGCCAGGTGTTTATAAAAGATTGCTTTTATAAAACTTCGGGTATGTATTCTCATGCCAGTGACCACTTAAAAACTTCACAGTGGCATTCAAATAATATTTTAACTGTAAAATATTTAATATTTTTTTGCATAAACATTCTATGTGCCAAGAGTTTAAATGGACCAGTAATTGAAGGCCAAAGAAAAGATGTAATGCAGTTTTCTAAGTTCAGTGATAAAAATGATGTGAATTGTAAAATAATGCTGTAGTGCCCTCTGCTGTGTTTTAAGATACGTACCTCGGAAGAAATGCCAGTCATTCCAAAAAATAGAAAATACATTTTCTTTTTTTTTTTTTCCTTGTGCTCCCACATTTTTCAATTTATGAAGTAATGGATTTAGAAAACATTATGTAGTTTGTGGCATAGTGTTCTCTTAAATTTTATAGAGAAACCGTTAGAAAAGCTCCATGGGTTTATAAGTGTTTGCTGACTGCAACAAATTGAAATCTGGAATACAAGTAAACGTTCCTGTTTATGGGAAGGAGATGAGGAATGGGAGCTTGTAGTTGAGCTGTGGAGTTAGTAGCCCGTCAGACATCGCAAGGCATCAGGGGCTAGGGCTAGGGGTTTGTAACTGAAATCAGAAGTCAAGAAACCGAGGCAAGACTTAGTACTGGAGACAGATGGCCAGAGAGGGCAACAGTAAGTGTAACAGGGACTTTATTAAGGAGATACCAAAGACCCTTGTTTCATCTTGCTTCCAATGCTCAGGCTACTTGAAATAATCAACAGCAGGTCCATGCAAATCCCTTCTAGCACAATATACGGGTATTTTCAGTTCTCCTTCTGCCCCTCTTCGTGGTAAACCCTGTGGTCCAGCATGCAAGGCAGAATGATATGATGTTGGGCTGGTGCAAGGGATCTTCATCGCTTACAGGAAACAGCAACACAGATTCTGCTGTCTGATTTCTGACTTCAACTTTCCATGCTGTCACTGGGCCCTTCTGAGCAGTCCTGAACTGACAGGAGAGTGCAGGTAGTCTTCATGAAAAGGCCCATTATGCAACCCAAATCTCAACCAGTTAGGGAGAGTGATAACCATGGGTACAGTCACCCTCTCCCCAGCCATAAGGACAATTTGATGAGATTGAAAGCTGCCTTAGGCAGTTGTTTGCTTGATTTTTGAAGTTACACTTTTGCTAGATGAATACCGGAAGGAACATGGGTTAGCTTTTTCTGTGGGCAGTTCAGCCCAGTAACCAGCAAGCTCATTATTATTATGACAATATTTTTGCTAAAATATGCTTTATGAGCTCTTGTGAAATATATAGTTTAACCCAATATTTTGGTTTATGGGTCTTAATACAGACAAATAACAAGACATATATATTTGAAATAGATTACAACATAATCTATAGTGTTGTATGTTAGTATCAGTGTTTTCAGTTTTAGCTGCTGCTTCATGGGTGTGTCAGGGCATACCTTATCTCCGTGTTCCTGGAGATGAGGAAGCCTGAGTCCAAATTCATTTGCTTGGAACAAAAATGGAGTATGCATTTTACGAATTGAGCTTCAGTAAACTCTGCAGGTTAAGAAATGAACTATCACCTCTGTAGTCATTCTGACATAATCTAATTCCCATTAACATTTTTTCTAGAATTCCTGCTTTTTAAAATCTGTGCTATTTTACCTTATGATTTTAGGATTGTTTTAGGGCAACATTGTAACCCTTACATAGTGAGATTCAGAAAACGTAAATAAAATGTGATTTTTGTTTCTTTCCACCTGAGTGACCTTAATGACAGGCCCAGTGAAATGTGTATTTTGATCTTAACAGTTGAGGATATTATTAAAAATCATATATATTATTAAAAAGCATACTATCCATGCTTTTAAAAAAAATACCTCATCTGTCCGATTCCTGGTGTTTGGTACATAGGCATAAGGAGCCTGAGAAAAGCCACGGTGCTCATTGGGAATGCATGGGACTGGTGTCTTTGAAAGGTTTCACATACTGGGGACTAGCCACAAATTCTTTTCCTGCAAGTCACCAGCACATTATAATGAGTATCAGGTGCCAGGTGGTACTTAAAGTCCTGGGATTTGCAAAAATAACTTCATTAAGAAGTCTTTCCACAGCCTTGCAACACTGTTATCAATGTAAAATGTACATCTATATGTTATAATTTGGGAATTGTGCAATACTGGTTTCTTTTCTAAACTGGTGGCTGTGTTCCTAAGGGACTTTACAATACTTCTAGCATTAAGGGTGATTGTGCAGAAGCCAGCCTTGGAGAAAGAATTTTAAGTGTTTAAAAGCTTTACTAAAAGATGAGCCTTTCTACTTACAAATGTAACTGCCATCCTTCTGGTTTTAATTTTCTTTTTTAAGTACTGTTAACTGAAGAAAGCTAATGCTTGTGCATTTGACTTTAGATAATTTGGAGAATGGAGAGGGGCATGAACATGAACTCATTCCAAGCAGATCTGATCTTCCTTACAGGTACATGTCAAGTATGTTTTTCTTAAAAGAAAAAAATCTTCACCCTGTAGCTGCCAATTTATTATTGTTACCTAATGCATAGCTACTCAGTACTGGAAACCAAACTGTTCATCATGGTACTTCTGCCGCTGTTTGGAAGGACAGATGCAAAAGCCTGTGCTTCCCTTTTTGCATGGTTTCATATATTGAACTTCTCCTAATTTTCCTGAAGAAGTTATATAGTCATGTCAAATAACAGTCAGACTTAGCCTCCTGGTTTTGAAAATAGGTTTTATGTTGTTTCTTATTTTTACTGTATTCTGCATGGCCTGTTTGAATAATTTGAATATTTGAATAATTTGAATATAATATTTCATTTGAATAGTCAATTTGTGTCTATTCTTAAATGAGACTCACAACAGAGTAATGAAAGAATAACTAAACATAAGTTGATTGAATATGGGTGAATACGATGACAATTCTAGTTTCTGGAATGTTTTTTTTTTCTTAAGTTTTGAATTCAGGATATTGTTTTCATTTATTGATGATACTGTACTTTTATGACTAGAGTGGAAGTCAGTCCTCCAGCTCAAGTGAATACTTTAAGCAGTATGTTGCCTTCAGCCACTGTGCCAGAATCCATGACAATTAGTAAGTACTTCCTTGATGTATTTAGATGGTGGAATTAACTGTGAAAGTCCTATAACTCTTAATTTCTATTTTTATTTCAGTAAGATCTGTTTAGAGAGGCATATAGCACTTCAGTTCTGATATGCTGGCCACATTAGAAACGATGGCTCTGACATGATTTTTGAATTAGCAATCATAGAATCACGGAATGATTTGGATTGGAAGGGACTTACCATGGGCATCAACATCTTCTACTAGACCAGGTTGCTCAAAGCCTCATCCAGCCTGGCCTTGAACACTTCCAACCTGTCCCAGTGCCTCCCCACCCTCTCCGGGAAGAACTTCTTCCTGATATCCAATCTAAACCTCCCCACTTTCAATTTAAACCCATTACCCCTTGTCCTGTCACTACAGACCCTTGTAAAAAGTCCCCCCCAGCTTCCCTGTAGCCCCTTCAGGCACTGGAAGGGGCTGTAAGGTCTCCCCGGAGCCTTCTCTTCTCCAGGCTGACCAAGCCCAACTCTCTCAGTCTGTCCCCATGGCTGAGTTAGATCCCAGGTTATGGTTCATTGCAACTGGTATGACATCAGCTTCTCTTTCCACAGAAAAGCTGATATCATCCTTACACTAGGTGTGGCTTCAGTAGTTAAATGAACGATAATGATTTAATTTGATTAACATATTTAAATTTCTGCACACTCTGAGAACACTGATGGTTGTTTCTGATGTGATCTTACTTATTTTGCCTGCTTTCATTAATTCTTAGTCAGAAAAAAACCTGGAACTCTTTCTGTGTACACTTGATCTGTGGTTTTGATATGGAATTCTGCTCCAAACATAAATATGGCCTTTTGGAAACAAAAAATTTTGTTAAGATTAAGGTGGAGGACAGTTACACTTTCAGTGTTGTTCAGAGTTGAGCCAGACAGGACGAAATAGCCTTAGCTGTAGAAAGAGAGTAGTAGAAGTACCTGCAGTTTGTTTACCCCATCTTTAATCTTTTCCTTTGCATAAACTTGTGGAACAAAGAGGTAGTTCTTAAGCTGACTGGCTGTCTAACCTTGTAAGCCAGCAAGGTTCTATTTTCCTCACTGTGCTGAAAATTTTGTGACTGAACTGGTGGTTATGGCTTTGTTCCTAAAATTCTCGAGTGTGTGTTCTGAGATTTGGGAAGTTAGAAGGAAAGCAGCCAAGAGCTTTTTCTGAAATTGGTTTATGAAGTCATATAAATGAATGAAAGCTGAAGATGCTCTAATGTCTCTTTCAAATGACACCTGTGTCAGTGTATGTTAAAGGAGGTAGACCATGCATTGTTACTGTGGCATAGGTCTGCTGATGGAGCTTTACAGGCTGAAAAATCCTTTCTTATAAAGTGGGAAACTACTTTGAGACTTTTAAGTGGCATAATTGAAGGTGTAGGAGGCGTTACTGTTGATAGTTTCTGTGATGCTTTGATCACTGGGTATTCTCTGCTCATGTTATTATTACAGTATCTTCTTTTTTTTTCCCTCAGTAATTTTAATGGGAAACTTTCTGATTTTATTGTATTATATTGATTTTATTGTTTCCTAGGTGTGTTATGTACCAGCAGGGGCCGCAATTGGTCTCCTTCAATTGCTCAGTTAGTTCCTATGTCTAGTTCAGACAGCTATTAAATATAATGTAAATCTTGAGATTTCAGTTCTTGATAGTTAGCAATTTGTAAATGAAATGAGCCATGAGATCAACAGCAGCATACACGCTATCATTAGTTTCCCATTTCGGAGAAGGTTTTGGTGGAAGGGAAGGGGGGAAGCATATGAAAACAATCTATGAAGCCAGTAGAACACTTAATAAATAATCTAATTATTGTAATCAATATTCAGCTGACTCTGCATATAAGTTAGAACCTTGATAATAGGTGATCCCAGATGCATTCAAAAAAAATGCTTTTTTTCAAGTTTGTTGTGATTAGTTGTAGATTCTCCCTACAAAAAGAATTCAATGCTATGACAAAGCCAGACACTGAAGCACTTTCTCTGTTGCAATTAGCAGAAGAATTATTAAATGCTGAGGCTCGTAGCTTGGTTGCATAGCAACTAATTCTAACACATAAGACAAGAAAAATGGTATGCGGTAGTGTAGTGAGAAAAGCTGCGAGGTCTCCAGGGACTGTATTTTTGTGCTTCTCACTTCTGAAGACAAAGCCTGAAATGATTTTTTTTTTTAAATCTATTCTTTTCCTGCTTCCTTTCCAATTTACTAATATAGCACTAACCTTTTCTCCGTTCTTTTGATATGCAGGCTGGCAAACTATGTTATGAGAAGTTGTAATTTAAAATTTCTGCCATTCTGAATGATTTTCCTGAATTTGTGTCCCACGCATTTGTAAGGTGTAGGTCAACTTAGCAGCAGATACATCTCAAAAAAATACTAATACCCTTCAAGAGAAATCCTAATCCATAGAGTTAGAATTTCAATGTGTATATTAGACATCGTTTGAAAACTTGCCCTACTTTGCAGATATGTCTTACAAGTAATTTTATAAAGATTTAAGTTTGTCAGAAGTCCTGTTTTTATGTGGCAGTTCCGTTATGTCATTTTTCCATTTTTAAAAAATGTATTTATCATGTCATATTTGAATCACATACAACTTTATGCCTGCTGGAGTTATTGTCATTGGAAGATTACATTTTCAGCATTGTTTTACACCAGAAAAATCTGTCCTATCGGCACAAGTCTCACCATCTTGTTTTTGCAGTGCAAAAAAAGGCAGTTCCAAAACTTTCATTTTAGAAGGATGATACTTGTGTCCTTCTTTACAAGGTTATTTGATTATAGTGCTATTTTTAGTAAATAATTGGGAACTTAGTTTTTCCAGTATGTTTTTCCTCGTCTTTAAAGTTGGGCTTGACCACAAAGGTTAGCAAAGGTTGTAGCATTGTACATTATTGCGCATTTTTTCATATATTCTTGAGAAAGCCCCCAGTTTTTCATGGTCACTGAGGATGTTCACTGAATAATCAAAGCTACATATTAGATTTTTATCCTGGCTGCATAAGTAAATAAGGTGTATGTTTTTGTACTTTCTCTGTCCTCTAAATAGCTTCTGACCTGTTGTGTAACTTGGCTGCCACCGGTCACTGACGGGTACTGAATTTTTGTGACTTCTCTGAAGGCACAGCTGTGGGAGGAGGGTGTATAAATTTCATCACTGAGAAAAAAGCTGCAGTTCATCTTACGGGCTTTTTTTTTTGGTCAGGACTCTTCTGTACACTAGAAAGCTAACACTGTATTGTCTAATTTGTTTCCTACTAAACTTTACCCTATTAGTAGTGATGCATCAGGATAATATTTACAAGATTTCAGAACACTAAATAAGGCCTTAATAGCCAGTGTTCACGCAGACAGTTTAGGGAACATGTCTGTAAAGGTCAGACTTCTGATTTAAGATGTAACTTAAATGTTACTGGAAGATGTAACTTCCAGTCTGCACTAAGTTTTGTTTGTCTCTGAAAATATCTGTGTAAATTTGCACTCAGGGAAATAAAATTAAAAACCAAATCATTCCTGTAGACGCTTCCCAGCCCACCCTGATATTCTATCTGCAGGATTGCAGAGGAGTGCTGCATGACCTTGTGTACCCTGAGAGATGATTTCACTTACAGCTCATTCTTCATAACAGGTGATTGCAAATCATACTTATCCAATCCTTGGCTAAACAGCAGAAGAGTTGTGAAACTTATGACTTTTTCTGGAGGTTGCTGGGAAATTGAAAGGTGTTTCGTAAAGCATGGCACGTTTTTATATATTTTGTGCTCTGAATGGGACCTTATAAAAGCTTTATAGAAGCGAGATTTTGCATGTAGTATGCAAGTGAATTAAAAATGTTTTAGAGCAAGTATTTGCTTTATGAGTAATCATGCACTACAGATCACTTTCAACAATAAAAGATACTTTTTTGTCTTTTAAAAAGTGAGGTTTAACATGAATAATTTAATGATCACATTCCTTGATTTTTATGCTGTCTTTTCTTACTGATAAAGACCTGATATGGAATTATTTTTTTGCACATAGAAATCCTTTCTTAACAAGTTCACTAGTTATCTTATTATATCTGTTTAATTTATAATAGCTTCACTGTTTAAATGTTAATAAATTAACACACATTTAAACAGACTGAGTATCCATACAGGGTATTATTGTAGAGTCACTCCAGTGTAAGTGTAAAGCCAGCCTAATAATTTGTCTGAGTAGAAATGGCTTTAATTTATTCAGAGTCAGAGAAATAATAGCTACTAAGTCAGGTTATGCATTATCATATTTTAATGACACTGTTGAAATATTTAAAATGCCATTGGCTTGATGCTTTCTTGAGGAGGATTCTGAATTCAACTTCATAATTAAAGATCTTAATTTTGTTATAGAGTGTTGCTGTACTGAAATCTTACAAGGGTTTTGCTTGTCTTGTACACTTGTACGAAGCTTGAGCACTTACTGTATTGTTCTATTTTCCTCATCCTTAGCACAATTTTTTTATTTCATAGATATACTGATGGATTGCTGTCCATTTTCACAACACTACATATATTTTTTTTTTCAGGACTGTTACAACCCACCGATTTTCCACTGCCAAAAAACCCCCACCAACAAATGACAAAATAACCCAACCAAAAAGCCTCAAAACACCAGCCTTTCATGTCTGCCCTCAAAGTGGAAGTGTCTCATCATGACCAAAAGAATACTAATAATGTGGCATTTTGTGATCACCCAAATTTGATATTTTATAGCTAAATATAATACTTAAATCTTAGCATGTAGGGTTTGAACATCATCCATTCCCCTCTCTGTAATGCTAGTCAATAGATGCTATTATAGACCATCTTTTGAAAAGTAGTCATGGAAATAATGGAGCACAGCTTATTTTATCATATATAATCTTTCCATTTGAAGTTTTTCTATAATTGCTACATAAATTTCGGTGGTTACCTGGTCATTTCAATGCAATACGAACTTCACTCTTGTCAAAAAGGGTATTCTACCTTCCATTCCTCATCCTTATTGATTAAAAAGGTATTCTGTTCTGTCGGCTGCTTTCTGCTGTGTCTCTTGTGCCAGCAACAGTATTAAACTCAACAATAAGGTCACTTGGCAACCTCTTGTCTGAAAAGTAGCCCGGCAGGAAAAAAGAAGGCGGCAAATTGGAGGCGAATCAGTTCCTGCCAGGACACTGTGTGTATGAACACCAGGGCCAGAGTGTGGGAGGCGGTAGCAGTGATGGGTCAGGCAAGCTGTAATGGCCTTTGCTGAAAGCGCAGCCTTAGGAAGACTGATTAAAGTAGCCATGTAATCACAGTTTTGGTTTTGAATATGAGTAATATTATCAAGGGAGAAAGGAGAAGTCTCCAGAATTTTTTTAGCGTGTGTTAATATTTAGTACCCACAGATCTAACTTTTGGCTTTTCCACGAGATTTGGATTGTGTTGTTGTTGTTGTTGGTAGCTGTATAGAGAACACCTATAAAGATGCTAAGTTACTATAAAAAATGATTATTCTTTCTGTACTGAATTAATGGAGTGCAAAATCCCTCTAATGACCTACAGAAATGTTGCTTGCTAATGACAATTAGTTCTCAAGCTGTAATGTGGAATGGGTAGAAAAATAGTCATCTACTTTCTTCATGAGCAGAGAAGCAGAAATATTTTAGAAAAAATCTAACATGAAGAGATCGGATTGGCTGATTTCAGGTTATATGAGAATCCCACTGAATCCTGCAAGGGGGGATTTACCAGCAGATTACCAATGCCAGACTGGAATTGTGGTGTCCACACTGACTGGTACATTTGATCGACATAGTAAAAACTGTCATGTTCTGTCCACTGCTGGAGTATGGCAGATTTAATCTGTTCCACAGGACAATGTAAAGATATTTTTGAACTGACAAAATTATCTGTAGCTATAGAAGACATTAAGAAAGGTGTGGGTAAATCAGTGAACAGAATGTAAAGGGGAAAGAAGTTGTCTAATGGCTTTGCTTACTTAAAGAAATTAAGTAATACCAGTTCTGTTACCATGTTTTCAGTAAAAGCACAAAAAAAGTTGCTGACATCTGCTTTGAATACTTGTTGAACAGAATTGGCTGATTTATATATAAACATAGAAACATTTCATTTAACCATTGGGAGGGATGTTTTAATATAATTGTATCTCTGCAGAAACTTCCATAAAGTTGTTGATTCCATACATGAAATTATAACTGAATTTAAAAAAAAAAAAAAAATCTAGCTTAAGATGTATCCATCATGATGTTTGCTAGAAACCATTCAAATCTTTGAAGACCTGTTGTGTTTCATGTATTCATGCAAGATCTGGAAGTGAGAGTCTGTTTTAGTCCAGATAATTAAGTCCTAATATTTTTCTGTAAATGTAGAGTGAATAGTTATATGGTAAAACCTTTATAATAGCAGAAGGACTCCAGGTGAAGCAGCATGTTGAGCTGACACTTTTTCCTAAGGTATTTGGTATTCTGGTGTCACTGTTAAACCTAACCCTAAAGAAGTCTTTAAAAACTCTAAAAATGTCATAATTAAAAAAAAAAATCTTGGTTTAATGACAGAAAGTATTTTTTTAAGGTATGTATAAGAAATTAAAAGGTTTTTATAGGAAATTACAAGATTAAGAAATCCGATAATCTTTAAGACAGTCTTTAAGACTGAGCTTTTAAAGAAGTGCCATGAAGGAGCAATAACATTATCTCTACTCTGGTCTCACTGAAATAGCTGTATTTCCTGTGTCAGAATTTATAGCAAGGAAAATAAGCCATTGAAAGATGTCAAACAAGTAACAGTATATGCCATTAATATGCACGTAGTGAAAAGGAGTGTTGTCCCTCACATCTGTGAATAAAACAAAAGAGCTGCAGCCACAGGTAAACTTGTAAACATTTGAATTAAAGCCAGATGTAGGCTAATTTGATTTGATCAGTGCATCTGATAATGTGGTAAATAATAACATTTTTGAAAGATTGCTCAAATTAGTGAGATTATGAGTGTTCTTATGTGCTTTGCTGAATAGCAAATGACGGTGGCATCATCTTAAGTTTGTTGGTGAATTAGTGCCACTACATACGTGAGTTTTATACACAGAGAAATCAGTCTTTTTTGTCCCTTCTCTTCAGATGAACTTCGTCAAGCTATTGTGGCGATGATGAATAGAAAGGATGAACTGGAAGAACAGAATAGGTAGGGTTTTCTTTTTCTAGTCAAGAGACACTATAATTTAAGAAAATCTGTTCTCTAATGTGAGCTCTCCTTTGTGTAAAGCTATGCTTAATCTTTGTGTACTGTTTTTGATGTATATATTTTTCTGTGAATGGTAAGCTTAATAGTTCAGTATTCAACTGTTGATACTGAAAAGTAACATTTGCAGGTCACCTTTTTCCTTTGAATTTAAATCACATAGAAGTCTCTATCTCGGGAGCTTTTGCCAGTTGTAGTTTTTTCAAACCCAAAATTTATAGGCAAAATATTCTTCAGATCTCTTAAGATAGCTTTCCACATGAATGAAAGTTTGTCCTTGTACAAATATTCAGAAGATTTCCTTTTTTCCCCTTCCTGTGCAGAAGTGATACAGGATGGCTAACAATGTTACACTCAAAGTGTTTGTCATTTGTGAGTGTCTTTATGTTCACTTGGGGCAAAATGATGATGTAAATGTAAGAATAATAACTTGCTTATTAAAAAGACTATCAAACCTACTTTGTATTTATTTAGTCTATTGGAACACAGCATTAGATGAATAAAAATACAAAGGTATTCAAGACATATTGCTGTTATGTTGTAGTAGGGCTATTTTGTTAATTTACATTTTTCTTTAGAAATATATATATTTTTTTAAATGTTGAGTTTATCAAGTGATGCTATTTTCCTGCCTCTTATTCTTGCCACTCTCATAATTGGAAGTTATTGCCCCATTTAGCTTTGTGCATTTTGGCAGAAGGATCCAATGCTTCGGGTTTTACCATTATGCATCACACTGCCCTTTGCTCTCTCATCAGAGCTTTTATACAAAGGTCTATGGCAGTGCTTTTGGAGACAAGAACCCTACTGGTCTCCTGCTCTTGCTAGTAATTATATTGCTTATTGATTATTCCTGAGATGTATGGACTTGCAGTGATGTACTGAAACCAGATTATAAACTGTTTTCTGGAATAAATTCTCTCTGCATGGTGGTGCGGTAGACACCATAATAAGCTATGCGTTGGGCATGTTGATGAGATGGTAAGACACTTTAATAGGAAGCACAACTGTTCTGGTTGCGTCCTTTTTCTTTGTAGCTTTTCATACCTTTGTATAATCAAATTAGGTGAATGTATTACATTGAATAATGAAATTTTAGGATGACATTAATGGTATAATTCAACCAACCTACTCTGTGAATCGTAGAGTATCCTCTAATTACTAGGTAGTGTTTGCAGTGTTCTAACAGAGGCTGCTGCCTTCTTCCAGATCTCTGAGAAATCTGCTTGATGGAGAGATGGAGCATTCTGCAGCGCTAAGGCAGGAAATGGACAACTGGAGAAGGAAAGCAGCAGAACAGGAAGAGCGACACGCCATGAAAGTCCAAGCCTTGGCACGGTAAGAAGTGCTGAAAGTGTCATAAAATGTAACAGCAGTGGAACAAGGGAATAAAAAATTCCACATAGAAGAAAAAATCGTTTTCAAGTATTTTAATTTTCAGATGATCATAAGGACTAAAACTCCCATGGACTTTAGTTGAATTTCAGCTGAAAAAAACCTTTGGAAGATTTTCTGACAACTTTAGTGGGCTTATGGTTTTTGTTTGGTTAAGTGTTAACAGTATGTGAGACTTTAAAATATTAGTAAAACCACCGTTACAGCTCCAGAGGAAAGAATATTAGTGAGCTGAACTTCTTCTAATAGTAAGAAATATAAACCATGAAAATACTGACAGTTAGATGAGACTAGATAGAAAAGGGTACATGTATGTGTAAGGTAAGTGTAAGAAGACTTTTCTCCATGTGTCTATTTTGTCTAGTTCTAACTACCCTCCTTTTTTTTAATTCATTTTTATTTTACATGATATTTGGGTCATTCCTGGTATAGCTGTCAGCCCAATCTGGAACAAATCACAATGTCACAGTCATGTTGTTTTCCATTGTATTTGACATATGGGATTCTTAATGTTGTTAACGTACCTAGCACTGTCTGTAAACAGTATTTTCCAAACCTCAGAGCTGATACAGCTTCTAAATGTGAGGGGGTGGAGAGGGGGAAAAGAAACGCTTTGTCATTTTTCATTGTGAACAGACTGACATTGCTGTCCTAGAATAATGAAATGATTATTCTAGTAGTGGAAATGGCTACTTTGGTGCTTGTGTAAAACATAAAGGTTTTTGTTGTTGTGGGTGGTTTTTTTTTTTTTTCTGTTTGTTTTTTCCAAAAATACACAAGCTAGATTGTTGGGATTCTAGCACTCAGTCAAGGAGCCAGTGAGGACTTGTTGTGGAGACCATTTCATTTTAGTATTACTCCACAGTATTCCCTCTGGTAGATGTCTTACGTGGTTCCACACTGAGATTAGTATGGGCACCCTCTCCTCCCAGCAAGTTCTTTAAGTTGGTCAAAACTGTGCTGAGTGGTCGTAGACTCAGTTATACTGAGTAAGAATATTTGTGTTTATTGCTTTCAGTTATATAGAATATGTCAGTGTCAGCTGCTGCAAACACAGATAGCCTTCTGTATGTACCCTTGCCTATGTAAACAGTAAAGAATGGATTTTCCAACCCCTTCAGTGACATTTCCATCTGATCTGTCTTCCTTCTATCTGATTATTTAAGCATGACTTTGTTTTCCTTGGGCTGATTTTTTTTTCTTGTCTTGTTGTCAAGTTTTCATGGCCGACCACTGTATCAACCACTCTATCATAAGCAACAGTTGTTGACAGACAGTATCGACAGTACCAATTTCTGAAGTGCAACTGCTTCCTCTCAGCTCTAGGAAGGTCATCTGGAACAGGTTGCTCGGGACCATTTTTAAGCATGACTTTGTTTTCCTTGGGCTGATTTTTTTTTCTTGTCTTGTTGTCAAGTTTTCATGGCCGACCACTGTATCAACCACTCTATCATAAGCAACAGTTGTTGACAGACAGTATCGACAGTACCAATTTCTGAAGTGCAACTGCTTCCTCTCAGCTCTAGGAAGGTCATCTGGAACAGGTTGCTCGGGACCATTTCCAGTCAGGTTTTGAATATCTCCATTGACGGAGACTCCATAAACCCTCTGGGCAAA